TTAATTTTAACATTTATTCCGAAAAGTGTACCCTGGGGTCCCATGGGCTTAGTAGTGGTCCTTAGGGTCCCGTACGCCCCATCGTATGCCTCAAAAAATCTTTTTTTTTTCTTTTTCCTTCATATATTGTGTGCTTATTTAGTAAAATGCCTCTTAACGGCATTACCATAATCAAATTTCGATTCCGAAGAATTTTTCACTTTGAACCTGCTCTAAGGTTAATACAAACATAAATAATTTTTTCTACGGCTGTTTCTCTTGCGACAAAGCTATTATACCAGATCAGGCGCATAAATAGAGACTATATTTATCATTCCCTTTGATTCGAATGTGATAATAGCTCTACTTTATTGCCTAATATTGGCAAAGGCTTATGTTTGCCCAGGGCAGGCTCATGGGACCCCAGGCCTGGGGCACCACCGAGATATCTGACAGAAATCTACAGCAGAATGCAGTTGGGAAACACAGCCATTGTGCTTTCAAGGACAAGAACTAATACTTTTCTCAATGAGGCATTAGTGCCGATCCTGAAAGTGAAAAGGGGAAAAAGAAAACAGGATTGGGCATAAAAAACATTGCACGCAACACATAAACAAACCTTGTAGACAAGTTTTAAAAACTCACCATGGATGCGCAGCAAATGCATAGTCACAATATTTTTAGAAGATTTGCAGTGAGTCGGAGTTGTGTCGTCTACCAGAATCTCTTCCTTCCTGCATATCAGAAATGTATTGAAAAGACGCCTGACATGATGGAGCTAAGTTTCTTCACAATAATAATGGTTCACTTTCATACACATTTTAGACTTACCATAATTAACAACATTCTCCTGATAATAAATGGGCATAAGGAACATCATTCTAGTTCTAGTTTAGTCCTTTCACTGTTAAAAAAAACCTACAGTAATTCGTGCAGGATGGCCAATAAATTTTTATATTGGCCTGACTGTTTTTAATTTTACAGTCGGACTGTTTTTAATTTTAAAGTCCGACCTGTTACCGCCTAACAGTCTGCACTGTTTTGTAGAATACGGTCAGACTGTATTCAAATGTACAGGCTGACCTGTTACAATCTGGACTGTAAGATTTAAGTTTAGTCGGACTGTAATCTTAGACCTGGTGGGTGGAAATTTCAAATGGGTTTTTGTAGATTTTGTCCTCTATAACGGCCTTTTACGGTTTTTAGTTTACAGTCTGGACCGTAAATGAAAATACAGGCAGGACTGTATTCTGAACTACAATCCAGACTGTAACAGCTCAGACTATAAAAATAAAAACAGTCCGGCCTGTATTTCAAAATACAGTTCAACCGTAAAATTAAATACAGTTCCTGACCGTTAAATAAAATATAGTCTGACCGTAAAATAAAATACGGTTAGGACTGTATGCCCAGTGTAATTGGCCACAGTTTTTTAAACAGTGTTGTTTTAACACCAGTCTGCGAATTAACTCAACTCCAGCTAGCGGTGAACCACCCTCTCTTCTAACATTCCTAAAACAAAAGAAAAAAAGTGGTTAAAACAAAACAATTTTAAAATCAGTATTTAATAATGATAAGTTTTCAGTGAGGGGCTTGCATCAACTTATCTTTGTTCACCTGCATGAATCAATAATACAGCAAATACGTTCACCCAAATGCCACATGACTCTTTACCGATGATTTGTTGAAGAGGATCAAAAACCAATTGGAATTATGAGCAAGGTACATCACAAGGAAACATCTCTCACCATTCCCTCTGCTAATTTACCTGTAAAAAACATGTTTGGAGCTTTATAAAATTTGTTGTGACAGAACTGGCTGAGACCAGTTCAGATTCAGTGAGAGTGAACTGATAATAGTTCTCCCTAACCCAAATTAGCTACAGAAGATTAAATTTGCATAAGCAGCTTTACAAAAAACTAAAAAGGTTACGAAAGGTAGTTAAAAATTAGGAAACACATTGCAGAATCTTCGTATAAGCTTATAGAGAAATAACGGTTTCATAAAGAGGAAATGAGTGGATAATCGAGTGGTATCATAACCCTCCAACAGAGCTGCAGAAGAAGGGTTTTACCTACATGAAACTAACGAAACGGGACGTAGGACTGCCTACATCTCAATACATCTCAAACGCTGATCACAACCAAGCACTTTCTGCCATGATTATTATTGATATGTTACTGTAAAAGATCTTCTCCTGACTGCCGCCTAGTTTGTTTACGGCCTGGCCGAGCCGTTTCGGGGCTCCTCCGCAGCACCGCCAGCGCCTCTCCGCGCGCTCTTCAACTAGTCGCCACGGCCAAACGGTTCGAGATATGGACACCAAAATTGGTATGCGGGTCTGAGATGGTTGTATCCCTCACCCGTTTGTACCATAATTTTTTGCGATTTTTGGTTTAGGCCCTATGGTACGTCGGATTTCGTCCACAACAACTTTTTGTTGAGGTGGAAATTGAAAAAAAGGGCTACGTTAGCGTGTTGTGCCAACCTTCCCCTACACGGAAATATTTATCCAAAACCTGTGCGGGTAAAATTACGCCCGCTGCCCCTCTGCACAGAAATTTTTGGGGATTTCTCGATATATAGCGAAAATGTACAGTTGCGGGCAACCTATAGTGCCTTCCCCACATCCGCCCGCTGCCTGCCTGGACTACCCCAGCCGGGGCCATTGACGCCTGTCCTTTTGTTCTGCAGCATGCTGCAGCTCGCACCAACCCGCCGAGCGAGACCCTCCTGGGTCTCGGGCTGCCGCCTCAGCCTGGCGGGCTCCCCCGTCGGAGCCGAGAATAAAGTCAGCAAAAGTAGGCCTCCTAACATCAGCCTTTTTTTGAAGGGGAGTGTAAACGCATCAATAGACTCATAGCTCGAGTTATTTTTGCACCCAGATCCCAATTTGAGTACTTCTACTGACATGAGTACTTGCAGTCATTGGACCCGAATTCGTTTCGCCTTTGTTCTCGCCACGCCCCGCCACCACCCGATGCTCACCTCACGCCGAGTCTCCGCCTCCATTCCAACCATCCAACCCTCTTTCTTTCAGTGTGCTCAAAAATTTTGTATTTTCTTCTTATTTATTATCTTTTGGGCCACTCCAATATATAAACCGGTATATTTACGCACACTGACGATTTTGAATAAAAGTTCTACTCCAATTTCGACGTAAGTTAGACGCGACAAGACAGCCTGAGAGGGCCCCAGAGCCTCCTCGCCGTTCAGGCTCGCCCGGACTGGGCCGGCCGGCCGAGGGCCCCGGCGCACCACCCTGAATGGGAATGAAACAAAGACCGTAACAACACATGTTAGGGAGCAGGGTCGAGGCGGGGATAGTGGAGCGGCCGGTATAGCAGGGCATTGTAGACCGTACCCTGTCAGTCTGCCGCTGGCCTCGTCTTGCTTTCAGAATCCCCAAAAAGTTCTGTGCAGAGGGGCAGCGGATCGTACTCAGCGGGCCTAAATCGAAAATCGCAAAAAATAATGGTGCAAACTGGTGAGGGGTACAACCATCTCAGACTCGCATACCAATTTTGGTGTCAATATCTCGAACCGTTTGGCCGTGGCGACGAGTTGAAGAGCGCGCGGAGAGGCGCTGGCGGTGCTGCGGAGGGACCCCGAAACGGCTCGGCCAGGAATTGTATCCCGCCATTTTAAGTTTGATGAGCAGAACTGTTGACAAGCGGTTTCCGACTGCAGCAGATATTCACAACTATGTGGCTTCTGCTACGTTCTCGTCAAACAAACATTCGCTCTTGAAAGTTGCACCTAAGTGAAAAGGCCTTGTCAATATTAATCTTTTTACTCTTGCCAGGAACACAATATTTTAGTATTTGTATTATGTTACATTATCTCTGTCAGTGAACATCAACATGTTCACTGCTACTTGTGAAGATAGCAACACAAGAGATCTGGTCACAAGGCAATCAGATAAGTTTTGTACAGACCTCTTCACCTGTTTACTCTTAAATAT